TGGGTAGTTGCCCAGGTCCTCAGGAGCATCATCACACTGGGTAGTTGCCCAGGTCCTCAGGAGCATCATCACACTGGGTAGTTGCCCAGGTCCTCAGGAGCATCATGCTGCCCATATTGTTAATGAATATTAGGTCCGGTAAGGGGCCCCATTGCTCTGCCCAGAGCATACAATATTTTAAGACGGCACTGTATCAGGTAACGATTTTAAACCGCTTAACAGTATTGTATTCAATGTAGACTATCAGGCGAATCATTAAAAACGAAAATTCTGCATCGTATGTGGTAGGGGAAGTTCACTTCCGTAACTATGCGAAATGGTGTTACTATTTTCCTCAAGTCCTTGTATTACATGAACTTGTATATTTTCTTTCGAAGAGTCCTGATGCATGTGCGCCAAAACACGAAGCTGCCCAAACTTCAAAAGCTGTGCAATTTTTTTTAATGTAAGTCATTCAGATTTGGAACAATTAGTTGTCACAACTTTACTACATAAATTTGATGATAAAATTATACCTATTCATATACCTATTCATATATATATGGTTTATAAGTTTAGGGTTTTAATCAAACACCCAGAAAAGGTTCATATTAATTATTTGTAAATGTATGCTGGCAATATCAAAATCTACACCAAATGTTTTTCTTTGTTATAAAATTGGTAGATATAATATTCGGATATTAAACTAATAACTTAGAGCTTTGAAAACGCCGTATAACTGATTTCAGAAACAATGCTACAGTCTGTAATTAAAATGGGGCAAAACCTGCGATTGCTGTGTTAATATTATCCGAAAATGACTGTTATAAAATATGGATTTGATAACGTATGGTTTAGATAAGGCTCTAACAAAGAGTAAGCATTCATAAAAAGGTTTAGACAGCTTTGTAAACATATTTTTAGAAGAATTAATTGTTAAAAATGGATATATGACTTTTGTATACGTGAACTAATGGCGATTTCACACTTAAAATTTTTTTTTATATGCTTCATGCGATACATATTCAGGAAATATGATAATTAAGCAAAACCAGTTAATTAGTCATAGGGACAAATATAGGAAGATATCAACATATGAAGACAGGATATTCCATCTATGTAACGCCAAAACTAAATATGAACATCACTTTAAAAAAAACTTTCTACCGTCATGTGTTTATTATTAATTCAGTTTTGTCTATTTCAAATTTAGCAACCATAATTAATACGATCCTGAATGTTAGAGAAAATGTAATAAGAATGTGTAAAATTTACATGTATTAAAACTAATATATAATTTTACACCCAGTCATAAGAATGTTGTATAAATTTAACTTTTTCTGAGCAAAATATAATGCATTTACTTTCCATTATTATCTTTATATGTATTTACTGTTAGACATGCTCACGTCGATTTTGACGTACCGCATGCAAATTTTGCATATATTTTGAATAAATTACTTGTATTAAAATAAAAATTATTACTGTCATCAATTTGTTTCATGTAATATATAAGAATAACATATTATTATTATTATTATTATTATTATTATTATTATTATTATTATTATTATTATTATTATTATTATTATTATTATAACTATTATTATTATTATTATTGTTATTATTATTATCATCATCATTACTACTACTACTTTTATTATTATTACTATTATTATTATTATAACTATTATTATTATTATTATTATTATTATTATTATTATTATTATTATTATTATTATTATTATTATTATTATTATTATTATTATTATTCACTCTTAAGGAAGAGTATTAAGTCATGTAATTATAAGAAGGTCGCCATCGTATGACTATTTTTGGAATGGGTAAAAAAAATGTCTTGATTAGTGCCTGGTAACCTTTATTATGAGAATGCCACTACTGCAGATTATTCTGATGATTTTTAATATTTTCTATCGCTAAGCAAAATAATAGCTTTAATTACTAAGATGTATATATATTGAATTTTCCAAACAAAAAAATTAATTTTCTTCACAAGCGTAATTATGTTATATATGCAGTGACAACCACGTATGTAAACATGGAAGAAAACTGAAGAAAAAAAATCTAACGTGAAAACATACATCCCCAAAGAGTCAAAGCTATCTTGTGATCTCAAATTAACTTCTTTTAATAATAATAATAATAATAATAATAATAATAATAATAATAATAATAATAATAATAATAATAATAATAATAATAATAATAATAATTATTATTATTATTATTATTATTATTATTATTATTATTATTATTATTATTATTATTATTGTTATTATTATTATTATTATTATTATTATTATTATTATTATTATTATTATTATTATTATTATTATTATTATTTCAAACATAATATTAGATCATATCATCACACAGATTACAAGGATAGAAGATTAACTTTATCAGTTATTTAATAAACTAGATTCTGAGAATGACAACTACTATATTTCTAAGAATAGTGAATCTCTAGAATGCAAAAAAAACCCACCTTGATAGTATTCAATAAATGTACTAAAAGTAATTAAATATGTCAGCTCTGTGTTTTTCTAGAAACTATGACAAGATGTAATCTGACAATATTTCAAAATATACTAAAAAATGTATAAATTATATTATATCGAATTTTTAGTCTTTCTTGTAAATTAACTTTCAATTTTAAAGATCTAAAAGGTTGTTTTGTTGAACATTTAGAGAAGCAAAAAAAAAAAATAATCAAACACGATGAATACCATAAATAAATTCTGAACTTAGATGAGGAAAGAGAAGTTTGCTGTTTATCAGAAATTATTATCTCCAACTATCCATTAGATAAAAGAGTGACTGCATTATTTGACAGTGAATAAGGAAGCGTACCAAATTATAGCTAGACACTGATGAAGGTACAAAAGGTTATCAGGGCCCATCCCTTGAAATGCGTGGAAAAGCCAGCCGCAAAGCAATTTCGTGGTAGGATTTGAATGATTCAATTTTTATACGACCCTTTTTTCGGGGTACACATCAGGCGTTGGTGTCATTTTCGGCAAATGCTGGAATTCTTTCATGGGCATTTTTAGAAGGAAATTATTGTCCTGTGATTCAGTCTGTTGTAGAATCTTTACAGATGCAGCAATAGGTATTTGCCGAACTTCCAGTAAACCGGTGGACATTTCAGAAAATGAATACAATGATATGAGAAAAGTATATTTGAAACTAAGTAGAGAATGATACATATTTTCGATTACTGTTTTGAGCATGATTTCACATCAAGTGGACCATAGCCAAACGAACACAGTACATATTTTGTGTAGAAAATTTCTTTTTTCAGAGTGAAGTTATATATAATATTGATTTGTAATATATTGATTCGTTGCCTATTTAGAGATGATTAGGTTGTTTGTTTTGATAATTTGAATCAGCTTGCATATATTTCCTAATGAGTACGCACTGCCTGTCTATTTTATGGACACAATACAATCAATAATATAATGTAGTGTTCAATGAACATTTTAAAACACACCCAATCTAAAATTGCATTGTATAAATAATTATTAAAACTGTGCATTACCTCCCAAGTTATACTCCTGCAAAATTAACTCCTTCAAGTTACAGAAATTAATTGCCTTTATTAATAACATTCATTACAGACTAAATTGTCTTGTTTCACATGAAACTTACAATCCCAAGGAATAAGTGCATTTATTTATTGCTGTAATATTGGAAAATCAGGAAGATATTAACATAAAGCATAGCTAAATTGTGTCACATACAAAATTAAAACAGAAGATTAGAGAGAAGATTATCACCTATTTCTCATAAATTTTCAAGAAGCCATTAATATTAATTTTTATGAGTTTATTTCCAATCCTTAAAACAGAAAAGTATTTTCCGCCACCGTGTTTAGTGGTGCGTGGGGTTTTAATAAAAAGAAAAGAGTTATATTATATATCACCCATCTATATTATATATCACCCATTTTATCTGGAGGACTTCTAACAATGAACACCCACCCCAAATTATTCTTTCTAAATGAATTTATCCCACATGATTAAACCGATAAATTAGAACCAAATAAATATGTGCTGACAAGAATAAATTAGACACGCACGTGTTTAATTTAGGTTTGCTGAATTTTCTTGGCGATTTTTAAACATCAACTGAAAGTATTGACTGAATTTTTTGTCCGTTACTATAGTAAGAAAATTTGACATTATTGGAGACAACTTTCCTTAAACTGATATATAGCTTTATAATACATAACCATACCGGAATGAAATGTACATGTAACTAAATTATGAATTCTGAGGATGTCTGTGAATACTCAGAAAGTACACATAACTCGTGAAGAATGTAGGGATAATAATAATTGTTATTATTTATTCTCTCTCTCTCTCTCTCTCTCTCTCTCTCTCTCTCTCTCTCTCTCTCTCTCTCTCTCTCTCTCTCTCTCTCTCTCTCTCTCTCTCTCTCTCGTACAGATTGCTGCTGCATGAATCCGCATATTACATGAAAAACTTTCTGCATGGTTTTAAGATTTGAAACTTGGTGTGTTTGATGAGAGTTTCCACCAATCCCCCATTATTTGCTGTGTTGGTTACATCTTAAAATGGTTCAAGTTATGAAAGTCGTTTTCACGAATTTATTATGTACATCACAAATTCTGTTGGAGACGGGACCATTGTCATATTTTTAACAATTCAAGACGGTCCAGCTCATGTATCGTGGGTAATATATTTGTATATACAATAACAAAACTCTTGACCTTTATATTCGTAAGTCTAGCTCGATGTGCATAAGGCACTAAAAATACATAGTCTATGTAGGTATGAATTTATTGAGATAGAACAAAACCATAAATTGTAAATGCCAAACATTAAGACTAGTATTTATTATTCCAGACATTTTTTCTAATTTTATTTTTTGTGTTGGTGTGGCTTTCAACATTTATACATCTAGTTAGGCACAATGAATAAATTTCAGTCGCATAGGAGACAGAAAATGAGGATTATAGATTTAAACGAACCGCTCCGGTGGTCTAGTGGTTACAGCGTCCGCTTCGGATGTGGGAGGTCATTGGTTCGATCCCCGGTTGAATCATACCAAAAACTTACAAAATTGGTACAAACAGCTGCCTCGCTTGACGCTTAGCATTAGGATGTTAGTGTTAGGACTGGTCAGCCTAGTGTCAGGATAATGTGACTGGGTGGGACATCATGTAACATGTCTGCGGCAAGATGCCCCAGTGCTAGACATCACTATAAACTGCCATACTGCAGACATCATAGCGATATGACTGAAAAATTGTTAAAGCTATGTTAAGAATCATAATCAAATCACACCACATATATTTAAACGCACAAATCATAACCAAGAAAATGGAAACTACGAAAGTGAACGCACATATAATCTCACACATATATTGTGATTTGAATGTAGAAGACACTTTTATAATCTTGCTGAAAATCCAGGGAAAAGAACACTTGGTAGAAGAAGGAGGTTTTAGTTCTGGATATTCATATGGTAATATGTTTCATTTTATGCATCAATGTATTAGTATTAAAAAAATCTATTAATAATTTGCTACGCTGTTGATGTGGTGGTGATGGGCTTAACGCCATTTTCAGCACATAGTGGCTATGCATGGTGGCCAGTATAACTGGTGTAGGACTGACAAACCCCGGGAGGTACCACAGACCTATGGAAAGACACTAGCAAATTTTCTCACATACCCACTTAAGAAGAGCCTGAAACACGAACCCAAGCTGACAGAGGGTCAAGATGACAGTGATCGGTAAATACAAGTGATTTGGACCACTCGGCCACCCCCTTTGCCACTTTTAATAGTCTTAAGGACCTTTTGTACCATACACACCATAACAGCATGAAGAAAATGATGAAATTGATTAAAGCAATTAACAGTGACGTGAAGGCATGTGTCAAATCAATGAATTGCAAACGCAAAGAAATTGAATTAACAATTAGAATGTGTCAAGAATGTGTTATTGGGGCCTCATCCATCAAATCAGTAGAAAAGCTAAATTCGTCGTACTTGTACAAGACGTGAGCTATTCGATAAGTCGATGCCCATTTTTTCGATATTCACAACAATATCTTAATATTATTCTCAAAAAATGCGTAAATTATTTCATGGCTATTATTAAATTCAGTTTTCACGCATAATGACTCATTTTTGGTATAGCTTGAAATTAAATGGACAATGTTTACAGATACAGCAACGTTAATTTCCACATTAGAAAATCAACAGAATATAAAGGGAAGATATGTTCAGAAAATATATCAAGAAAGACCTGCCTTATTGAATATTATTTTGGACAAAATTTTACGTCATACGGACCATCCCCATCGTCAAAGGGATTCTCGAGAAAGTCTCTGTTGACAATGTCATTTTACAAATTAAACAAAAATTAAATTGGTTTGTAAAAAAGTCTAAGTTCATTATATATAGATTTTTTCAATGCATCATTTGTTACATCAACATCATATGCAGAAAAAAGTAAATTGTAAATTTTTACTTGCACTCCATTTGTGCATATATCATGGCCTCTGTAGCAGTTTCACTTTTTCCAGTAGGATGTTCCTGCTAACGATGACATCAATTCATATATGATTATTAGATGTCCTATAGAATTACAACAGTACATAGCAAGTTGCGATTCAGTACTTGCATGTAAACCATTCGAGTTTCCGGATAATATATATCCACGGACATCACGCAAGAAAGACTAAACATGTTTAGATTGAGAATTGTTGAAGAGCGGAGTGACAGTTCATATGTTACGTATGAAAATGTGAGATAGGCTGAGACTCAGCTTTGCATCTATCGAATGCTGACCATTGGGCATACACGTGAAATACACGAAAAAAAAATAGAATTAGTAGTCGACTCTGACATTTGCTTATTTGAATATAAGAATACATATAAATAACGCAATATTTTAATTTTAACAAATATTTGCATGTAATTGTTTAAAAATATGTAATGCTACTCGAAACGGGAAACAAAATTTACCATTCCAGTGATATCAAAATAATGAACGAAATGTAGATCCATTACAAAATGTGTAAATTTATGATCCTACTAACTAAAAGGAACTGGAATATATTCAAAAGTTAGCTTTTTTTTATAAGACTTTTGTGCTTACTATCTCCTTTCTTTCACTTAACAGTGAAAACAAATATTTTTTTAAGAACGATTATTCAATTATTCAGTCATATAATTGCAAAGAATCCGCCATGGTGCACCTGTACTGTTTCCTTGGACTTTAAAAACGAGAATTTCTTGAGCAATATTTCGTGAACATTGTTCTAAGAACAACGAATGCTATAAATTCTAAATATCATCTTTTGGTTTCTTTTGACCTTCAGCTAAAATCGATTCAACAACCTTATCAAATTTAAATTGATTTCTAGCACAGACGTTTTTTTATTCTAAACAAAATTCACCATTTCATTCTTATGCTGAGGCAGCTTACTGAATTATAATAATACTCTCTCTTATATATA